CCCGCCGATGCAGGCACCAACGTGCCGCAGGGCGCCGATGCTGCCGCTGGAGCGAATGCCGACGGCACCTTCGACGCGGCTGCTGCGATGCACGGCATCAAGCGTGGCCTGCGTCCGGAGAATCTCAAGCTGCCACCCAACAAGCGTGCCAAGAACGCCTTCACTGGCAAGGCGATGAGCCCTTCGGCCGGCGCCAACGAGTCGCCCAGGGTGGCTCCGTCACCTGCGCAGCCCGAAGACACGCCGACGCCGGCTGGATCGACACCTGCCGGCAAGGGCGGCAAGAAGAACGACAAGCCGGCCAAGGCCGGCAAGACGACGGTCAAGAAGGGCAAGGGCGCTGCGGGCACACCAACGTCGTCGGCGGCCGAGCCGGACAAGAAGTTCAAGACGAGTGCCGACATTATGGCCGAAGTCAAGCGCGAGATGGCCGAGGCGGAGCGCAAGCGCCGCGAAGAGGGCGGCGGTGGTGCATCTGCTGGCGACGCATCCGCAGGCGCAGCTGCTGCCAAGGTCGACAGTGCCAACGTCAAGGCCGAAGAGGAGGCGGAAGAGAAGCGCAGGAAGGACTCTGAACTTGCCGGACGCGATCCTGCCGGACTGGTCGAGTCGACTTGGCAAGAGCTGCTGGCCACGGGCCATGCCAACAACAACCACCTGCGCGGCATGAACGGCATGAATGGCATGCCTGGCGACATGTCGCTGCTGGGTGCGCCGAGTGGCGGAGCGGGTGGATCGAGCGGATCGGACCCGAAGGCGCTGCAGTCGCTCATGTCGCTTCTGGGCCAGGACTCGATGCTGGCAGGCTTGCCTGCGGATGGATCGGCTGCCGTCAACAAGGGTAGCGGCTCGGGCGACGGCAGCGCTCCGTCTGGCTCGGCGTTCCTGAACGGAGCGATGGACTCGCTGCCGTCGGCGGACGCGGATGCGGGCCTGGACATCGACCTGTTTGACTTTATCGAGGCCTCGGCGGCCGGGCCGGATGCGTTCAACGACACGGACGGCGAGCTTGGCGGCATGTTTGGCACGGGTGGGCTGAATGCATCGACGCAGGAGAGCGAGCCGCCGGTGGAGACGCCGGAGCTGGTTGCGAGCGCGCGGCTGCCAGGCAACAGTTCGAACGCGTCGTCGAGCTCCAACTCGACCAACAACTCGCTGCGAGCCAAGCTGCCCGGGGCGCTGGGAGGCCACGGGCTGGATTTTGGCTCTGCCGGACCGTCGAGCACGAGTCCGGCGGAAATGAGCAGCTGCGATGAGATTGATCTGGACAAGAGCCCGTTTGTCCATCGAATGCGACTTGACCGCATCGGCTTGACGATCGCACCCGCGGCCTCGGCGGCCGAAGCGGGCAAGGCGACTTCGACTTCGGCAACGACGACGACGACGAACCAAGCCGACCAGAGCACAGGCAAGGCTCCGGACGAGGCGGCGGTCGGCCAGGTTGAGCTCGGACCTGGTTCGCACGGCATCATCGCAGGCTCGGGCGACGAGTGGTGGGATCTGGACCATTTCGGCAACACGCTCGGCGGCAGCGGAGCCTTTGGATCCGATGCCAACGCCGACCAGCCCTGGGCGGTGCTAAGCTGATCGACAGTAGACGACGGACGCCAGGCTACACCAAGCCACGCCCCTTGGCTAGCCTAGCACTTGCACGGACCCTTTGCGGATGCCGCGCCCATTCGCCCTCAGTGGTGGTGTCAGTGTCATCTATATTCCCCGGCGGCGCCCTTGGCTGCCTCTTTTCTTGCCGCCCTTTGGCATTCATCCTCTGTTTTTTTGATACCGATACTTTCTTCTCTTCTGGCTTTTGTCTGTTTCCCTCGCTTGCTGGGCCTCTCATTTTACGATTCCCCGTTTTGTCATGCTGATCCGATTCACTACTGTCGATGTTGTGTTGTTGCCTCAATGCCATACGATTGGTTCGCTTTGTAGCTGCAGGGTGGGTGGGCTGGCGAGTCGCAATCACGAGTTGCACCTGTGCCAGCCTGCCGAGCGCAGGTTGCAAAATTGCGCCCAGGATGGCGATGTGAGATCTTGCGAGCTGCTGCTTCGGGAGACGGCAAACAGAGATGTTTAGCCAATAAACGCGTTCGGAAGTTGCATGACGGCTTGGCGAGCGGGCACGCGCATCGACGGAAGCGGATTGGAAATGCGCGGCCTGCCTGCCCCTCTTCCTCTCCCCCACCAGACTCCCGGGCCACGCATTTCCTGCGCGCGCACGAGCGGAATGTCCGATGCCCTGCATGCCGCACAAAAAACGGAGCCTCCACCTGTGCTGTGTGCTGTGTGCTGTGTGCTGT